GCCACAGAGACTGGCAAAACGTTAGGAAGAACAACCTTCAGAACACGGCCAAAGAGCCCGAAAAACCCACAACTACCACTGGGTTTGATTTTTTTAAAAAACTCTCTTCTGTGGAAGGTCGTTTTAAAGATCTCGTGATAAATGTGCTAAACAGTGGAGGAAAATGGTATAATCCTAGTCAGTTAGAGCTCATGAGATGTGCATTTGCTGGAAGATGAACTGAAGAGACCCCAAGGATCAGCAGGGGAGAGTCAGAATGAGTTCAGAGGCAATAAGCGGGCTGGTCTTCGCAAAGCCCATCGGCAGCTTTGCTAAGCAAGGACCACTTGGTATTCAGTCACAACCTGAGATTGAGAAGCAGGTGGCGTGGCTGTGGTTCTTCCCACAAGATGCCCTTGACACCTTTCCAGCCTCGTGTAAGGTTTACTTTAAAAAGACTGCAAAATCAAATTGTCCATGAAGAAAGTAACCAGCCCTTTAGAAGTGGTCTGCCCTTCCCTCCTTCCTGGGCTCTGCCCAGGGCCGCTCTTCTCTCGGGAGGGACCGAGGGGAACTGAACTCCCCAGCCAGAGACCTCAACGGCCGAGTAAACAAAGGCAACGTGTGCTTTTGGATCTGGCCACTGTTGGACCGCGAGTGCCCCTGAAGAAGCTGGAAGGGAGGCATGTAAGAGAAGATGGAAGCACCTTCTTTGTCCGATAGACTTCAGCTTGGATTCCTACCTTGAGCGGGGGGGTGGGGGGGTGGGCTGAATGGCCTTAGGCTCACCTTCCAGCTCCATTGTCCTGGGACTCTGTGGTTCTAAATTCCATGAAAGCTTCTGCTAAATAAAGACCCATGGCTTCCCTACCCCTCTCTTTCCCCCCCACCCCACCCTGGGCACTCTTGGTAGGGCCAGAGGCGAGGCTTCCTCTGAAGACCACCTGCTGGGGGTGGGGAGAGCAGGAGAACCCGTCCGTGGCGATGCTCACGTGGGGCTTGCAGTGGATGCATCCCCTCGGCCACTGCGAGAACAGGGAAGTTGGTCTTCTCCCTTAGGGACCCCTTATGTAATGTCCTCCTTGCCTTGCAGGGCTGCTATGAAGATTGCTCTCCAGGGATGGGGCCTTGGAAGTCCTTGGAGAACCCGGAGAGCTGCTAAGGGCTGTTCCTACCACCTGGTGTGCCAGGAAGGCTTGGTAGGTTGTTTCTCCAGGGATCCTGCCGGGAGGGGAAGGGGAAGGGGAACGGTGTGCCCAGAGGGCATCAGAGCCATCAGGAAGGGGGAAAGCCCTCTGGCCGGCCTGCCCTGGCCCCACTCCTCCTCATGCCCTCCTCCTCCCTTTCCTCCCTGGGTCACTTTCGTTCTGTTGGGTACCAGCTCAGCCCCGTGTGTCAGGAGTTCCCCCCTGGACTGGGGGGGGGGCTGGAGTGTCTTTTGGGGTGTAGATGGGACCCCCGCCCTCACGAGACCAGCCGGCTTCCCAAGTGCAAGCCACAGGTTGGCTGTGATCAAATGGGCGGGAGGATGAGGGGGTGTGTGTGTGTGTGCGTGCGTGCGTGCGTGCGTGTGTGTGTGTGTGTGTGTG